TCTTCACAGGTGCCTATTTCATTGTTAGAGCTGTGAAAATGATTATGTAATTGATACAAAATATTTAAATGCCTTATTTGGCAACAGCATGCCTATCTTGTTGTGTATTTGAGCCTCAAATGCAAAAGTACCCCCATATGGCCTCCCACCCCACTGCAGTAGGGCACAACACATATCAGGTATAATTGTATATTGTTTCCTTATTTAGATGTGTATTAAAACATCGAAATTGTTGCCTGAAAGAATGAAACAAAAATGAAATAACTGCCTGGAAAGAATGAAATGAAAATTCCATGGCAATGAATGAAAAAAAAAATGAAACAGTCGCCAGGAATGAATGAAATGGAAGAATAAAGCAAAAAATGAAACAGTTGCCATGGTGGAATGAAATAAAAAAATGAAACAGTTGCCAGGAATGAATGAAACAGAATAAATTTCATTCTTGTCAGTAGAAATGAAGAAAAAATTGAAATGAAATGAAATGAAACAAAAAGTATTTCATTCTCCACGGCAATGAATTAGAATGACTTGGAATGAAACAGTTGCCATGAATGAATGAAAATTCATTTCATTTCATTCACGGTAGCTAAGCAGGAACTTCTATGGTACATGCCAGGTTTTACATGATGTAAATGGCAGCTACTAGTGGTTGCAATACGAGTAGTGATGTGCCACTGGTCCTTACCATATTTTATCATAAAACCATGGCCTAGGCCAGGAAGGCCTTCTGCATAGCTCCACATACTTTTATGAAAAGTATATCATATATGTCCCAGGCCCTTTTATGATAAGGATTTTTTTCATAAGAGGCCTTGTGCATTTCAATAACTTTTCATTGCAGGTCACAACTTATCATTAACTGCTTTTCATTGCAGTCCAGCCATTTTCATTGACCACTTTTCATTGCTGGCCAGCCCTTTTCATTATCCACTTTTCATTGCTGCTGACATTTTCATTGGGTGCTTTTCATTGCAGGCCAGGATATTTCATTGGTAGCTTTTCATTGCTCTCTAGGATTTTCATTGGCTACTTTTCATTGCAGGCCAGCCTTTCTCATTGACCACTTTTCATTGCTGCTGGTATTTTCATTGATAGCTTTTCATTGCAGGCCAGGATATTTCATTGGATACTTTTTATTGCAGGCCAGCTCTTTTCATTGACTGCTTTTCATTGCTGCTGGTATTTTCATTGATAGCTTTTCATTGCAGGCCAGGATATTTCATTCGATACTTTTCATTGCAGGCCAGCTCTTTTCATTGACTGCTTTTCATTGCTGCTGGTATTTTCATTGGTAGCTTTTCATTGCAGGCTAGGATATTTCATTGGATACTTTTCATTGCAGGCCAGGATATTTCATTCAATACTTTTCATTGCAGGCCAGCTCTTTTCATTGACCACTTTTCATTGCTGCTGGTATTTTCATTGGTAGCTTTTCATTGCAGGCCAGCCCTTTTCATTGGCTGCTGTCAGGTGGGTCATCAGGAGAATGGTCACATGACCAGTTGCCTAAAATGGTTAAAAACAAAAATTGTAGTCCTGCACTGTAGCTTCCTGAATCTGTTTAAAAAAGTGCTTTCATTGTAGAGATATGAGGTAAAATATTTTTCTCATCGCCAGCTTTTTTTTTTTTTTTTTTTTGCATTCTTCTCCATGAAAACAAAACCAAACAAGATGATTTCAACACATTTAGAAATCCAAGAGAAGAGGCTACAATTATCATATCATGGGAAAATTGTGCCAAAAAGGAAGGTGCATACCTCAAAAGGGAAATTGACATGGATAGCCTGCAAAAGGCTACAAAAAGTCTGACATAGACTATAAGGACCACTGATAGACTACAAAAGACTACAAAAGTTGGACATACCTTACAAAGTTTAAAGTTTACTAATAGACTACAAAATGTCGGAAATAGACTACAAATTTTACTAACATAAGTTTCTAGTGTCCCCTTTTTTTGGACTACAAAAGTTTGTATGGTCTGCTTTTCAAGACTACAAAAGTTGTAGTGTCTGCTTTTTTGAGACTACAACAATTTGTAGTGTCCACTTTTTGAACCTACAAAAGTTTGTCTTGTCTGCCTTTTTGACACTACAAAAGTTTGGTGTGTCTGCTTTCTGAAATTACAAAAGTTTGTAGTCTGATTTTCTGACATACACTGTGTAGTGTCTTTGACTATGTTAAGGTTCATGGGGATATGGCTGAAGGATTGAGTTGGCTTGACACCCATCTATCTATTGCTGCATCAGTGGTTTTGTATCATGCTCAACTTGTCTTTGACATAAGTATAGCCTATTCTATCCTTTCATGTTAATAGTTACTCTCCTCT